TCCATTCTGTGTTGACTGCTGGGGTAAAGCTCTTGGTTGGCTTCACATGAATCCCAATTTTTTTCTTTATTTTCTTTTATTTGTGGATCAAATCTGAGGCCTTGTGGATTTCATCCCACTTTCTTATGAGGCATTTTAGAGCCTAGAAATCCATTTAGTTCCCCCTTGGAAAGTGTTTGTATCCAGGAGAGTCAACGTGCTGTATTTTCTACAACGTAATAAGAGTGGAGAGGTGTTTTCCTTAATATGTAACTTATCTTTAAGGGTGAGTTCAGGAAACCATATATAAAAATGAAATAGAACCAATCCTGTTGAAAACAAACAGGAAAAGCTTGTCAAGTGCCCTTTGAGAGTGGACTAGGAGAGATTGGAAGTAAAGTTGACTCAGCTATGAGGGCTGTGATGAGGTCGAGGGCATGAAAATTGCTGAGCAATTATTTAGTTATGCACTTCTATTCTGCGTGGCGCAAATCTGAGGCTGTAGGCTGGTGCAGAAAAGTTATCTGCTATCTTTCAAGTTTAGCCTGAGTGCATAACTGTTTATTGTCTGAATCAGTTAATATAATCACCTTCACTATAGCTGAGCTTTAGTAATGTGCTTCAAGCTATAGAGTAAGGAGTCTTTACCTTACTTAGGAAGGTGAAGATTTAGGAAGCTGTCAGCTATCTTCAGTGATTGATTGCCTCTTGGTGTTTAAAATATGTCATTTATATAAAAAACAAAACCTTGGGCCAGGGATTTAGCTCAGTGGTTCAGGCACCTGCCTTGCAAGCGCAAGGTCCTGAGTTCGATCCCTGGTACCAGAAAAAAAACAAAACCAAATTCATGTTATTCTGGTGTTTGGAGCATAGCAAGCACCTTTCTATTGCATTCTCTTTTTGTTGTTGTTGTTGTTTTTATTTTGTTGTCTTGTCTGTTTTTTGAGACAAGGTCTCACCAGGCAGTTCAGGCTGTCCTTAACTCGCTTTGTAGCCTAGGCTGGCCTTGAACTTGAACTCCCCCCCCCCCGCCCCGCCCCCGGCATTGCATTCTCTTAATCCTGTCAGGAAATTTGATGGCAACAGATAAACTTCTGAAAATTCCACTGATTTT